CACTCTGCTCTCCTCCCCACTGAGAGCTGGTGTGTGGGGAGAGTACTGGAGCATCATCCAGGTGGGGCTGCACACTGGTGGTGGTAGTGGGATTCCCCATGACCTGAAAATTGCTCTGAGTGGAGTGTGCAGAAAAGGTGCTATAGAAGTGTAAGGAATTATTATGTTTAATTCTATCCCCAGTGCTGTTCGTGGAGGGTCAGTGTACCTCAGGGTTTTCCTTCCAGTTTGACTCTGACTGAACTGGACCAGCCGTTGCTCCTCAGAGCCCACTGCGCCCCCTGCAGGGCGAGGATTGGGAACTCCTCCCCGGGGGGTACTTGTAGAGGACACGCTTAAATGCTTAAATCACAGCTCTACACCGACGTGCGCGCCGCCTGGTATACACACTTCGCAAACAGCACACAGAGATGACTCCGGAATAGCACTTCAATGTCCAGAACCAGCTATTTTCGAACTGCCTCTTCCAGTCCAGGGTCGCAGGGCGGCCAGAGCCTATCCCAGCAGGCAGCAGGCTCAAGGCAGGGTACACCCTGGACGGGACACCAGTCCATCACAGGGCACACACACACACACCCTGGACAGGACACCAGTCCATCACAAGGCACACACACACGGACACACTCTCACACCGGGACCAGTTTTCCTCAAAGGCAATTAACCTCCTAGTATGCCTTTATGAACGAGCTGCCTTACAATTTTGAGGACATTTCATTTTCAGAAGAGAGTTGTTCTAGCACAGTGAATCTGTAGTGCTGGCTTTGCTGTTGTACTTTCAATGTACAGAACAGGATCTCTGAGAGCTCTAGTTGTAGTAAGATACTGCTAATATAAGGGAGTAGGGCAGTAGGGTTGCTCAGCGTGGTTGTATTGTAATAGTCTGGATAATGAGTATGAGGATAAAGATCTCTGGTTTACCTCTGGTTTATGTTATGTTTTTTTTTAAAAGTTGCAAACATTAAGGTGTATTTATTGCCTTGCTGTTTCTCTGGTATGTATTGTGTGCTCTATATTTTTCTATATGTAGTAAAGCTGACTGGGAAAAAAATAAAAGTATGTCTTTAGAAAACCCATGTGAACACAGGAGAACATACAAACTCCACACAGATGGCACCCCAGGCCCAGAATTGAACCTGTGGGAAGGCACAAAAATGCCACCATCCTGCCCTCGGCATGCTCGTGTACTTTGGTTATATCCAGCT